ATTCTTTACGTAAATAATAAACTTTTTAAACATGAAGTGAAAGCAGAAATATCTAGGACTTTAATATTCACGTGTTTATAAAACGTCCATTTGAGAAACTTTATCATGAATTGACGCATTCGCCCCCGATAAAATCTAATATCATATGAAAATGTATACGAATTTCACCAATATTGAAAAAGGTCAGGAACGTTAAACCTTTTTTTAGTTGATTTGATTGGTCAGAAATGTTTGTGCAACAACGAACTTTTGGCTCATTTTTTGTAGACGATAAAAAATTGATTTTTTTCAAACAAGATTACGGTTCCTTCAGCAATTCATAACTAAAACAAAATTGAAAATAAATCTTATCTTGCTTGATTCAGTTCTCTTAATTAAGCTAAACAAATAATTAAAATTTTATAGAATCATTCTTAAATATAATATTTTCATAGTAAAATATCATTAAATCAATGTAACGCTTTTAATTTATAAACCAAAATGAAGTGGAGTCTGTATCTTCAATTAAATCTAGTTAGTCCGGAGCGGTAGCGAAGGACTATATAATATATAGTTAATTAGTTAATTTTCTGTTAAATGTTGCAAAATTTTTTATTTGACATGAAATTATTATTATTTTTTTTTTTTTTTTTTTTTTGAAATTTACCTTAAATATAAAAAAAAAATTAAAAAAAAAGTTCAACCAAAAAATCGAACTTTCAAAATTTTCTATTGGACGATACAATAAAATCATAAAAAACTGAACGCCCATAACAGGCTTATTTATATTCATATAAAAGCGTTTATGCTGATAATAGTTAAATATTATCACGGAATATACAAGTATGCTTCTAAGCTTAGCTAAGAAAATCACTTCAAAATCTCGGATTATTAATTTGATCAGGAATCATCCCATTTGTTTTGAGATAGTTACAACCTTTTATATTATTGGAGTAAAGTTGTTTAATTCAATTTAGGGATTATTTGCTATATTCTGTGATAAATTTCTAATTTGCAAAATATTGTACATTAAATCCGCAATAAAAGATGGGTTTGTTTTCATCATCAAAATATTAAATTTCAACGCGTTACACAAACAAATTAATGAAAAAAAATTTTAACTACTAACTTTCACAATTCCGTCAAAAGATGACCTGGGGGAAAAACTTATATATCCTAACATCATTATAACTTATTGAAAGATTTATAATAAGGCCGGGCAAACAAAAATTTGTTTCTCGTGACATAAAATTTTAAATTTGACACAGTCACCCGGTTTTTCTTTATATATTAAGATTGTTAAAACAATCTCTTTTTCTTAGAAAAAATTCCTATCATTGTACATATTATGTTTAATTCTAAAACAGTATTTGAGTGGGAAGGGCTTCCTGTTAATGAGGATATGAATATAGGAGAATTTTTTAAAGATGATGTATAAGGTTGCCGGGAAAAACCCGGAGGTTTCGACAGGCATCGAAATCGAAACCCGTCGAAACGTTTTGCCAAATATTTTGTTTTGACAGGTGGCAAAAGTTTCGATAGTAGCAAAAGTTTTGACGGATGGCAAAAGCCCATCGATATTAAAATACAGATTTTTAATTATAAAAATTTATTTTGTTTTTGCGAGTTGAGAAAATCATTTATAGCAAAGCTCATTCTTTGTTTTATTTATAATATCATATTTTTATAAAGATAAGAAAAAAAAACTATCTTTTTGATCCATTAAACTTTCATTCGAAAAATCTTCATCTTCTTCATAAGGAAATTCTTCTAATTCTTTAACAAATTCCTGTGTTTCTAAAATTAAAACCTGTTCGATAAATAATGTATTATTTTAAAATCTTTGTTCTAATTTAGTAGTATATTTGTCTAAGTTACATTATCCTGTAATTGTAATTCATTATTTCTAGTATCCAATGTAGCCTTTGTCTCACAACTATAAGGTTGCTAGAAATTTTGCAAGTCATTTAAATGGTAAAAGGTATTTATTAAAATCTGCAAAACTCAGGAAAAGGTTAAAACTATATCAAAGCTTATAAAAATGCGAAACTATATCAAAATAATAAAAATTTTAGCAAAACTAAAGTTTAGACGTTTTGCCAAATTCAAATGAGTTTAGACAAGCAACCTTATGTATTTATAAATAATTTGTATTTGTAAGCAGAAGGATTTAATTAAAAAATATTGAAGTAATTATGCTAAATTTATTTATTAAGTGGCCAGATTGTGATTTTCTGTTGTATGATATTTTTATTGTTATGCTTCATAATTTATAATAATATTTTATTGTAAAATATGGATAATAATATATTTTATTGTAAATAATGAATTATTAATGCTATAACAATATAATAAAACAAATTTTACTCTTTTTGTTTACGTTTTGTTCCAATTCTTACATCAATCTAACTTTTAAGGCAAAGACTCTCATCTGCTATTTCTGGATTAAGTTTATTTCTTTGTTTAGTAATTGTACACTTTTGCAATTTCAATTTATTAAACTCATAAAATGCTAATCACTATTAAAACTATAAAATTAAAAATAATAAAATTCTGTAATTAAAAATAAACGAAGTTACAACGTTAAAAATAATGAAGTTAAGTTGGCGAAAGTGATAATATGGGAATTAGCTATTAAAATCACGTTACGGATCATATGATTTACTATGTTCGTAACTTGATTTTAATAGCAAATCTCCCATATGTGAACTTTGCAATAGAAAAGGGGGAAACGGCTGAAAAAAATAAAAAACTTTCTAAAGGTTTGAAAATTGTCTGAAATTGATCTACAAGGACTAACAAAATTTATGAACGAAAAACTGGGCAAAACTATATTAAATATGACAATACAATATTAATTCTTAATTAAATTTATAAGTTGCTTTTACTATGAATAATGTATTTATTTATTATTTATTTTAAAAAAGGGAGTTCATTTTTAAACAGCCGAGAATGTGATATTTTTTTTTTAGGCCGTTCTCAAGAAACTCCCTCAATGATATCAAGTTTGCCACCATCCTCTGATTGGCTTGATACTATTTTACTTTTTACATTATTACATTATGGATAATTCGTCAGAAGATTATTATCCTACTATAAACTAAATTTGATTATGCCAGTAACCACATCAACTATCATTATTAAATGACATATTATAATATCGTATTGTAAATACTTGTATATGATAAAAATATTTATTTCACCCATCATTTGTCAACATCTACTTGATGAGGTAGATGCAATGTATGGAGAACATACTATATACTCCAACATTTGATATCCTATAGTAAATAAATAATAGGATAACTTGTAATGAATCTATGTTCATTATTTATTCGACACTTTTCATTTTTGATGAAGTTATGTCGTAATACACCTTGTCGTTGAAGAGTTGAATATTATATGGGTAAATATTTTGAAGGAATAAAGCGAGGTCATTTAAAAAATGATGTATGATGTAGTATTTTCATTTATTTTATTTGTTATTTTATTTTTTTTTTTATTTTTTTTTTTTTTTGAAAAACTTGACAAATAATTACACATATTTATATATTTCTTGAGAGAGAAGGATGAATTTATTGATATATTAGCGTCTGACTGATAACCTTTTTTTTCTTGTATCGGAAATCATTGTTAAACAAAAGGTATTTTAATTGTTTGCTTTTTTCACATGAAAATAAATCAAAACCCTGTGATTATTGAACCGTCTTTGTACATTTACTAAAAATACTTTTACTTCCCAAAGATTTTTAATTTAAAAAAAAAATTCATTTATAGATTGAAATGAAATTTTTGTTTTCGATAATTAATTTCTAAATGGAACAATAGTACTTTAGCAGCACTTCTGTGAAATGAACCATTACATTTACTTAATGGACCAATCTAGTTAAAGTCATCAAATACAAATTAATGATAACATTTCCCGCCCATTACGAGAGATAAAGAAGTATTTCACTTTAGAGTTTGTTCATCATGACTATAGGTTTATTCAAATTTGTCATCAAATATAAAATCCAATATTTTTAAATCAATCACTAAATACATAGGGATTGTTATCAATGAATGAAAAAAAATCTCATGTAATTTGTATTTTACAAAAAAAAAAAAAAAAAAAAATTCGCTCCGTGACTAATATGATTGGATAAAAAAGAACCCAAACCATTATTCGAGTAAAATGTGCAGATCTAAAATTATATATTTATATTTGGTTTAAATGAATTATTTCCTTCTCTTGAGTCTCTATATCAACTTCTAATTGTAGTATTCCATTAATTAAATGAAACGTACGGATCATGAGAAACGCTCCGGAAGAATCCCATGCCTTGATGTTCAAAAGGATAAAATTTCCTTTAGGTAATCATCTTTTCTTCTAAATACGTATCAATTAAGTGCAACTTTGAGATTTAGGTTTTCGGATGTCTATTTTTCAATCCAAATGGTGCAAAGTCTGTACTTTTGGCGAAAATAGTAGTACAATTTTAATACAAAATCAGATAATAATTTCTCTTTTTGTTTAGATCTTCGTAACAGAAGGAAGAAGGTAAGGAAAAAAAAATATTACTTTTACATTTTTTTATTTTTTTTTTAAAAAAAAAAAAAAAAAAAAAAAAAAAAAATTTAAGGCAGCTCGCCGGCTCTATCTATGCGGAGCAAATGTTCTTTTCTTGTCGATAATTTTCAAAAAGTATTGGTAGTCGACTACAAATATTTAGAAACTTGTACGTTTTCATATCAATATTTCATTCTTACTTATATCGAGAACCAGAGTTTTCCAAGAAATTCTTTATATTAACAAATATACGAGCCATTTATTTTACATAATTTTTACAAAGGTTTTATTTAATAAATTTATTTAGGATTTGATAATAAAAACACAATTTTACTAATTTAAAAAAACAATGTTTTGCGCATAATAATAATTTGCATAAATACACATAAAAATAATTTATAAAATAATGTACATTTTTCCCCCAATAAAATCATGTATAGTATAATTTAACCAAGTATAATTATCATACCCTTCATACGTCAACGTGTTTATGAATAGCATTCATATTAATGGAATTAATAAATTCATCAATGTGTTTCCTTTTATGTCTTTGCAAACTGCTTGCGGTAGTAAATGCTTTTGTACACCCCTGATGATCACAAATATAAGGTCTCTCTCCGGTGTGAGACCTCTCATGATCCCTTAGATGACCCGAATGAGTAAATTTTCTTCCACATTCCGGAAAGCTACAAATCATTAATTTATTTCCGGTATGTAATCTCTGATGGGTTCTTAAATCATTCATTCTACTAAACATTCGACCACATCCTGTTTCTCCACATTTCCATGGCTTTTCATCTAAGTGTGTATATTTATGCGTTTGTAATCTTGTAAAGTTCGTGAATGATTTTTTACAACCATTCTCTTCACAAGCATAGATTTTCGCCAAATCATGATTTTTCTTATGTCTAAATAAAACATCCGATCTTTTGAACGTCTTGTCACATCCAGGTAGATCACAAATAAACGGTTTATCTTCTGAATGCGTGCTTTGATGTTTCTTCAAATTTCCCAATAAAACAAATGCTTTCTTACATCCGGTCACTTCACAAATAAAAGGTTTCTCATCAGAATGGGTTTTTTCATGAATTTGCAAATTGCCTAATTGACTAAATCTCTTGCCACATTCTTTACATTCATAAGGTCTTTCTCCTGTATGAACTCTACGATGATTTTGTAGGTGACTCATTTTAGAAAATTTCTTATCACATTCAGCAAACTCACACTTGAAATACAAATCTCCCGTATGTTTACGTTTGTGAGTTTTTAAATCATCAGGACGCTTGAATGCCTTTGTACATCCTAGTTCATCACATGCATAAGGTTTATCCTTTGAATGCATACACTTATGAACTTGTAAACTACTTGATGTAAAAAATGATTTTTCGCATCCCGGCTCATCGCAAACGTAAGGTTTCTCACCATTATGATTTCGTTCATGTACTTTTAATCCGTGTGAGGTAGTATAGGACTTTGCACAACCAGATACCATACATTTAAATGGTCTTTCGCCGGTGTGTGAACGTTTGTGAATCGTCAAATTAATTTCCGTGCCAAATGATTTATTGCATCCGGGCTCATCACAGGAGAAAGGTTTCTCTCCATGATAACTTTTTTCGTGAATTTTTAATCCATGTGAAGTGGTATATGTCTTTGTACATCCATCTTCTTTACATTTAAATGGTCTTTCGTCAGAATGAGAACGTTGATGAACCTTTAAATTACTTTTTGTACTAAAATATTTGCGACACCCGGGCTCGTCACATTGATGTTTCTTGCATGATATGGTATGATCAGCTTCACTTTTTCTTCTCTTTGCGGGATAAATGAATTCGGAATTACATTCGTCACTATCATAATTCACCAGATCTTCTTGAAGTTTATCAATCACTTCCATAGTCACATCATCGTTATCATCATCATAAATTTCCATGGCATCAGTTAGCTTTCTAATCACCAGGTCATCAATCTTTTGTAAAGTATGTTGTAATTTTTCCACTTTTTCCTCCTTTTCAGCTATAAAGGATTGTTCAAATTTTACTAAAGGATCCGTGTAAAACTTTGAGTAATCAACAAAACTTTCGTCAATATTCTCAATGAAGTCACTCTGAATAATTCGGACACTATCCTTTTCTTTCAACTGACGGGTATCCGTGGATGAAGAAGAAACAGCCTGTGCAGCAGAATGAGAATCATTGTTATCATTTTTTAAATTAATAATGATGTTATTAATAAATGAATCAACAGGACCGAATAAATTCAATCGTGAAGTATTTTGATCCTCATTATCAGTTGGAATTTTTTCTATAGAAGAACTACTTAATTGATTAATGGTACCAACTTTAATATCAAATACGTGATGTTCCGCATCGTTAAGATTCGACTTTCCGTCGGCGTGATAACCAGAGGAACTAGAACCTATCGTAAAAAATTGAAAGTTACGAACTGTTGTTAGAGCGTTGAAATCGTTTTGAAAAAAAAAGAGTACAGCAGCAACAAAAGCAAATGAAAGAATTTGATGATGCTTTCATTAACTGTTACGCAATGAATTTGAAATAATAAAGTGAATGATTATATATTATTTATTTATTTATTTTTGATACCTGATGCCATGTTTTAAAAAAAAAAGGACGAAAAAAAAAACCAACAAATGATGTTAAGTTTTTAAAATTTAAGTGAGAAAATGCCACTATGGTGCACTAAATTCCAAATTTGATTGTTTGGGGCTTATACTGCAGTTCCATAAAAAGGGATGTTGATCAACAATGATCGGCGGGCACAGAATTTATTGCGTAATGATGCGTTTTTTTTTTTACGATGAGCTGGTGGTCATGAAAGTGTGTTTTTAAAAAGATCAAGCAAAATGCTGAAATTAAAGAGGGTTGCGAAAGTTCTTTTTTGTTCATCTTTGGGTGCCATTTCATCAAATTTCATTTCATCATGATTTTAATTCCCATTTTTGAACCGACTCTCCCGGGGTTACTGATCCTCCTTTGCTGATTATCTATCTAAATCATCATAAGCTCATTCTTGGTTCTAGTAGATCCGTGATTTAGGAGTATGGTTTCACATTGAATATCAGACTTGGTTAGTGTATTTTAGTAACAACAACTTGCTACGCCCGCAACTTTGAATCTGTGCTACGCAGAAATCACCATCATTCAACGACGAGTGATTTATGAAGAAATTTTTGTTACTTGACGAATACCTCTTAATTTTCCAACAAAAAATATTAAGAAATCGGCTAAAATCACACATAAATGTAGTTAAGAATATTGCGGATAACTGAAATGATCAAGTCATTAATTAACAATAAAATTTACTTACCTGACTTGTCATTATATATTATATATTGAAACGTCTTACTAGATTACCCATTCTTTCAATAATTTAGAATCTGTTTAATAAATTAATCCTTATTGAAGATATCATTTTTTTTTTTATAATAATAATAATTACACGGTCACATATGATAATTAAACTTTGACCGTGGAGACAACCAAAAGTTTAATTATCTAAACCGGATAATTTTACCGTAACTTCACGGGTATTCGCCAATAACCCGTGAAGTTACTGTAAATAATTTAATAACCAATTGTTTAAATTCCAATTAGTTGTTATTGGATAAATAAATATAAAAATGACCCGTGTTAAATGAAAAACCATCATAACAGGCATTTCAACTCGTATTTTACTGAATGAATGACTTTAAAAGAACTAATTACGGCCATAATGTAATTCAATCCATGAATGTAAGGTTTTTAAATTATTTCATTATGGTAAATTTATAATATATAAATAATAATGATCCTTCCTTATAATAGTGCTGAATCAGAATTTAGTCTTTTCATTACCATTCTTAAATGTATATGTATAATATGGGCGATTTGATATTAAAACACGTTACACTATGTCTCGAAACTCGTTTTAATAACAAATGACCCATATGATATATGTAAAAACAAATTCAACCATTTTAAGGGAAACGAACATGTTTCATTCCACCTAATTGTATTGTAGTCCAAACATTTGATATGATAAATATCGTTCCTATTGAATTCTACTAATTATACTAATTGTAGAAATATAAATGTTATTTTCCTTCAAAAGAAATTTTATTAAACGTAAATTAAATTTATTTCATTTATGAAGGAAATTTCGATTTTTAAAAATATTTTTACGGTTCATTGTCTTATCCCTTTAGTGCTTGTTTGCATTGTAATACATTATTAAAGTATTTCGGATCATCCGGATCGTCTGTACCGGTTATTCTTGATTAAAACCTTGCCGCACTGATTTTTTTTTTTTTTTTTTAAAAGAAAATTCCTTAAGAAAATTATCACGATTTTTTTTTCTTTTTTTTTTAAAAAAAATAATTAAAAAAAAAAAAAGGAATGAATAATCTTTACAGGCAATTATTTAAATATTTTGGTGTCGAGTCGTGTAATTTTGTGCAATTTATTTATTTGGTGTACAGATATTATATCCACCTTTTAAATGAAAGTAATCAATACAAAAAGAGGGGAATCTGGAAATTTTTATCTAATTTTGGGTTCTTTGCTAATTTTGTGTACTTGACTGATCAGTCGAACCAATAAAAAATTTTTAGACAAATTAAATGTAGTATCGTTTTCCAATTTGAGAACGATGAAATGTTCTTCGATAATATCTTTTTTTATAATACGAATTGTTATTGTGGCTTGCAAAATCCAAAAACGACCAATTTTTTATATCAAATGATTGGAATAAAAATAACTCTAATATATAAATTGTGATGCGGGCGTCAAAAAAAAACTCTTGATGGCTATTTTACCACGCAACTTTATTTCCTTTTTCCCTATCTTGATTCAGTAATAAATGATGTACGTTATAATGAAAGCAAAAATGCAAATGAATTTCAAGCACATTCAGTAATTTTACGTCATGTTCTCCATATTTCAAAGTGCTTGTTCGTCCAAGTTGATTATACAAAAGAATGATCATGTTTAGTAAACCCCAATCGTTTTTGTTATGATTTTAAAGTAAACCTGCTTATTAATTAAAACTTCTTTTTGGAGATATAAATCATAATTTGACAAGATTATCGTCTTGAAATGATCTGCTGTCAAAACCCGAATCCATTTATCACTAGATAATCACATTCTTTCTGACCTATTCAAAGGATGAATTGCAAGTTAAGAAATTTAATAAACGGGGTATCGAACAGACTCATGAATTGGGAAGTATTAAAATAATAGAGCTGAATGGAATCTAGAAAATTTTGAAGCAATAAAAAGAAAGTTAAGATAATTCATTCCTCTTTATGATAAAGTCCGTCCTTATCAAACTTATAAAGAAGTCAAATAAATACTACTCCTTACCGAAAACAATAGCACCCCGTGATGAAAAACTAACATCAACGACAATTAAACTGAAATCATACAAATATTACAATAGATATAGGTTTAAAAACTTTGTTGTTGATCATAAAGTGCGCGGGCAAGAACCAATTATAGTTCTGATAAAAAGCACAATCAAAAAAAAAAAATTTCGTGGTTAACATTTTTTTTTAAAAAAATGTATTATCTGAAAGTTTTATCTGACAATAATTTTTCTGTCTTGATAATTTTTATGGAATAATGAGATAAATTTGATCGTTATATTTGAGAAATAATATTTTATTTCTTTCTTTGATGATTGTTAATATCATAATATTCACTTCGCATACTTTTAAATAATTGTTGGTAATATTACAATTGAAATTAATAAGGTTTTAAGTTCAATTGGAACTCGAAAGAATTAATTCCACAGATAACCAAAATGCAAGTAACTTAATAAATCCATCTATCCACTGTCAACGTCGGAAAAATCCAAATTTCAATAATAATGTACCCAAAGAAGCAGTAGGATTTAATATTAAGTGGAGTAGACCCGATTAGAATAATAATAAGAACAAAGCCATCGAAACAATTGTTAGTAAAATTAAGCGTTAAAATAGCGAATATATTAAATTACAACGCTTATTATCAGTATTTGGACTCGTATATGCTGAGGGATGGCTTTTACTCTACGTTTTAATATGGCAAAAGAATCCTGTGCAAGGTATTGGAATCTATTTTAGAATGATGAATCACAATTAACCGTTTCAAAGTTTCGTTCTGCCCTCAAAAAGATTATTCATCAAGAAAAAGATAAGTAATATTATTTAACAAATATATATAAACATATGTTTTCTGACAATTATTCATGTATATATATTGCCAAATAAATATACATTTTTGCCTAATTAAATTAAATTATTTGCCATAATATCGTTAAAATAATATATTATTTTATTTAATTGGAGACATTTTTATCCGGGTTTGATTATAAAATAGGACATTACGTTCTTTAGCCAATATTTCCTCTGGCCTATTTTTCCTCTAGCAATTATATCTTCTGGCCACATTAAAATTATTTACCAAAAAAGAGCTCCAATAAGACATTGCTGAATTTTAGATATAAAAAAGACGGTTCTTCGACAGGAAGAAAAGAATTTGATTAATATAATTTTCTTAAAGTACTCAATCCATAATAATAATGCTAACGAAACCTGCTACAATAAACATTCCTAATCATATTGAACGTTGAGGCGGTTCCTTACCTTACCTACATTCGATAAGTTAATAAATTCAATTAAACCCAAAACTTTCTGCATACTTTATATCAAGTAGAAATCAATCCCTATCTGAACTTAACAAGAACATTCATTTTATATGTTTCTGACTTGGTGACAAAGAGATGCAACTTTCATAATCTGCTCAAGCAACTGGAAAAGAAGCCCTGACGTGCGAACTGACCATCGCAACTTCGGAGGATTTATTTGATAATATTTGAGAGATAATGGCTTAACGAGAATATAGGTCTTGTTACTCCTGTATCAGATACCATATTCGAATACAAAGTCAACGATGATACAAAATATCCCTCAATTTATTCAATAATTCTCGACGCGATGAGTATTTTAAGATCATTGATACGTTCAGAGTTTTTGCGATATTGTCGCTAATATAGATCAACTTATTCTACTTTGATGGATCCTTTAATGATCGATAAACTTAAGTCTAAAAGCTATTAATAGGAGGTGGTTAATGATATTTTGGTTTTATTTATAGATTTCCATTATTTTCAATGGAAACTTACCTCTTATTATAATTAATAGTTATTCAGCATATGTAAATTATATCCCTCCAGAATTTTGTTTTTTTTTTTTTTTTTTTGAGATTTAAAGAATTTTAATACTTCTAATAATTTTACGCGCGCTATTTCTAAAAAAAAAAAAAAAAAAAAAAAAAAAAATGTAAAAAATTCTAAACTTTTTATTTCTTGTAAAAAAAATGTAAAAAATTCTAAACTCTTTATTTCTTGTAAAAAAATGTAAAAAATTCTAAACTCTTTATTTCTTGTAAAAAGAATATAAACATAATAAGATAAATCAAATAAAGTCTTTTCATCAATATTTATTATATTTCATTCTAAACATACAAAAGTTGATAAAAATTAAATTTCTTACCATCTGTCATATATTCGGTAATCGCTTTCTTTAATATTTGACAAGTTTAAAATAACTAATCTAATTTATTAAAACTTTATTAAGGAGGGAGATCTAAAATTTATCAATCTAGTTATCTGAGTTTGTAACAGTTTAAAAACAAGTTAGGGAGTTGATTAAGCTAGTTATATGATCTTTACTACAATCGAGATTTGTTACATTTCGATATTTTGCAATCCTCCTGAAATTCGTCTCTAGTTACTTGGTTAATTCTAAACTCGTTTCTCAATAATAAATGGCCGCATGCATATCATGTATATTTATTATTTTTCAATAAGTTTTAAAGAGTAGCATAGTATTAGAATATAAAAAGACGTAGTCAGACATTGAATCGACAAAGTTTTTGTAAGAATATGTCTTGTGATTAAACTTACAAATTAATCAAATTATTATTCTACACTTTCTTTTTGTCCTCTTAGGATTTGTTACAAACATCTTCTTGACTTTAATAGTAAACTGTACTGTCAGAGCTGACAAAAGAACTATCTATGGCTTTGCATTAAAAAAAAAAAAATTGGCAAAACGTCAAAACTAGTTTCGATTTTGACATCTATCGAAGCATCAAGGTTTTGCCAGGAAACTTTAACAAAACTGTAACGAAAATTTTTTTAATAGGATGCAATCCTTGCGAGCGAACTTGACGAGTCTAACAAAAGAATGACTCTTTTAATAGTGATAGTATTAAAGGTATGATAATTTTTTTTAATAAAATAGTCAATAACACTATGCATTCTTTTTTTTCAAGCTTTTTAATATTGGAAGATATAAGAATATGTATCTTAAAAACACGATTTATGTTTAATCCTTTGTGTATCGAATGAGAAAACTATAAACTTTATTTCATGGAATTTATTAAAGTGCAGTACAACAGAACATCTTACTATATAACTTATGAGTAATGTTTTAATTACACCTTGTTTCCTTTTTGAATACTATCGTTATATTCAAATTCTGAAATGGATTCTTGATATTTCACTACGAAAAAAAAAAAAAAATTAACAAAAAAGCCAAAAAAAAAAAAAATAAAAATAATCAAAAATCATTAATCATTAGTGCTCACAATAAAATCCCAAATTATTTCCAAAATTTCTATGACAAATTATTGAATTTATTGTTTGAATGATAATTATAATTATAGTGATTAAACCTATGATTATTATAAAAAAGTTAAATAATTATTACAATTTTCAAACAAATCATAATTATAATAATAAACGAATGATTCTTGCCTATTACAATCGATATTTGGAACCACGAATCATTTTGTAGAAGATATTTAAACCCACATATTTGTTCATTAAATAAGTTAACCGAACACCAATCATTGATACTTTCGATGAAATAAAAAATTTCATAAGCACTTCCGATATATGTAATGATCATTAATATGTGTGATTCGTCTCTAATCTAGGTAATAAAAGAAAAGAAAAAAAAAATTCAAACGACATACATTTATGAAATGATCGAAAGTACACTCAAATGAAACAGGTCACTCACCGCCTTTGGAATGATTGCAACGTATAATTGAAAAAGCATAAACCATGGAATTAATTTATAATAAGGTGTTTCTGTATGTATTCCTAATGTAATATTGTACCCATAATTCCTTATAAGCGTTTTCATCCAATTTGTAAATGATATGGCTCCAAAATGTACTGTTTGTGCATGTACAATAACTAGATTTCTTTGATAGGTCTTATACATTTCTATTAAAGTAGCAAAGAAAGATACAATCAATAAAATAATTAAATGTAATTGAAATTGTAAGGCAAAATCCCTTCGGTTTCAACGGTACAGTAGTATTTCAAACTATAATCAATTAAAAAAAAAAAAACAAATTCGAAGCTTGGGGATTTCGACCTTAGCCATTTGCTAAAATGATTTGCTCCGTATTATATATATACTTGCTTTTAATTTGATCGTTTTTTGTGATTTTCAATTCTTTAATAACTGGCCACGTCCTTAATTAAAAAAAAAAAATTTACATTCGACAAGGTAAAATTAATTGAAAAGTTAGATAATTGAAAGATATTCGAACATACCTTCTTTTCCAAAGATTAATGATTAATATGAAATACATAATTGTCAAAGATGAAAAATAAATAACCCAAATAACAAGACTGTAAAATGTGACATCCTTTATATGTTTAAATTTTCCATAATGTGCTATGAAATCAAAACAAACGGCATTCATACACTCAAAATAAACTTTAAACAACACTGTTGCACCTGCACAAATCACAGATATTCTAAGACAGACAAATACGATGCCATGTAACATAGATCGTTGTTGTATCTATAGAAATAATTTGACTTTAGTTAAATAAAATTGTGAAGAAAAAAAAATAAAAAAATAAATGAACCGAAATTATTTATAGCATACAGTTACAATTGCGGATATGAAATAATAAATATAAGGTAACGATAAAAGCAATGGTCTTATTGTATATACATTAATAATGAAAATGGTGCTTGAAATGACAATGATTGTACATTCAAAAATAAAAGTAATAATAAATAATTTCTCAATAAATGTGTAGTTAGATAGAAACGCATTGTGTGTAGTTTTTGAAACATTCTTCATTCCTTTCTTTTTAACAATTTAAAATTATTACCGATATTTGCTAATTAACCAAAAGAGTTTTTAAGAATATAATTAAATGCCCTCTTTCAGAGGAAATTAATTTTTTCATTCACTCAATGATAATGATTACTAGACACCAAATTTGGCAATTTTTGCCTGATACAAACAAATACGGAGATCTTTCCTCATTAATTTGGATCACTGATTTTACTAAACCTTCCAACAACCTAGCGTTGCCGTCAAAATGACTTTGGACACCGATTCAATAAAAAAATAAAATGAAAAAAAACTCAAATAAATTTAAGTTTAACGCAGTAGATGAACTCACCCTCCATCACGAATCCGAAAAGAGAACCTAAAAAATAATAAAACTAGAATAACCATTCCGAATATAAATAACATGACTGCGGTTTTAATAAAAAAGATTTTATCGCTTAAAATAAAGTGCAATATTCTGGTCCCTTCTCGGTATGGTCTATAAACAAGGTCTGAAACATTATATGACCGAAGTATTATTAAGTCACATGACGTTACTGGACAAAAAATGGTGTTCAGAAAATTTTGACGAGGGTCTGTATTAAAACTTTGAATTCTCTTATTAGGAGTTACCTTTAATGTTCAAAAGATTTCAAGGGTTCAGTAACGTGTAATCCAATATTCTAAGTCTTTGGCCGCTCCGCATAAAGTATAAATTTAACTTGTTAAACAGTTACAGATTCATTTATTTATAATAAAAAATTAAGATCACAAGAAAATTGAACTGTTAAGATGCGTTATTGTAAATTTATCAAACCTTAACATCGCAGTTTCCAAAGCGATTATATCTGTGAAAAAAATATTGCTAATATGGCAGATTTTCATCACGCTGAAAGAATAATCTAGAAGGAAACGCGGCAAAATCAAAGATTACATTTGTTTTAAATTCTTATTGACGATATTAATGATCGGATGTAATGTCATAATTTATATAATTAGATGATGTGTAATTTTAATTAGTTGGTCAGAAATTTATTTGCGGACAATGGGATGAAAAAAATGTCAACGAGTGCATTAAGAATGAAACTTTATAAACTTATTATAAATTTTTTATTTGATAAAGATACCAGCCGTTGGAGTCGGGTATTTTCAAATGACTGATCATTTACTGAGTTGCGTCTTTCAAATTTGAAATACAATGTTGTCGAAATTCTAAATTTTAAAAAAAAAAAATTTTAATTTTATTTCAAACGAGAGAGTCGCGACTCTGTCGGTCGGGTCGTCTAATGACTGACCGACTCCATCGCTAGTACCACTGAAGCAGAAAATGGCAATAAGTCCGGTCTTTCATTCTTATTGGTTTTTCAGGATGGAACACGAAAATCATCTTGTTTATAACGGGTTAGTGGGAATTGAAGGGAATTTTAATTATGTAATGTAAATAATTCAATTTGAAGAATCTTTTTTTTTCCCTCATTAAAAGTCATATTTCTCATCAATAAATTCATTCCTTTTAAATGTCTTCAGGACAAAATTACACAGATAATGATGTCTTTTTCGTTAATTCTAGTGAAAGTATTAAAATTGAAGTCTTACATTATTCTCCCGCTAATATAATATCGGTAAGCCTTTATAAGTTCAGTCCTAAATTTTTTATATAATTTGATTGTAATGATTCATTGTATGATAGAATTATCCACCAATTTTATTCATTCATGGATCAAATATTGCGGCTTGGGCTTGGGATAATTTTTGTCGCTGGTTTTCGAATAAAGGACATGATTGTTACGCTATGAGGTAACTAAACTATCGCGGAACAAAGGCTTGAGATGGAGAATCATCAATTTATTAAACAAAAATTTTTATCCTAGTTTTCGAGGACACGGACAAAGTACGAAGACTCCCAAAAAAGATAAATGGTGGTCATTAAATGAGATTACGAATGATATATCAGTCGTAACCGATGCAATTATTGCTAGAACCGGAGATAAACCTGTTCTCGTGGGGTAATTTTATTAATATAAATGTAAATAAATGTACATGATGGATTAAATTAATATATTTCGGTTAATTACCCTTGCCTTTAGACATTCGTTTGGAGGAGGATTTCTTCAAAATTATCTCAAAAATAATCACCAGAAAGTGGCGTGCGGAGTTTTATTCGCATCATCATCACCTTACAGATACAAAGCAAACCTCTTCGCAGACTCTTGTAAAATTTTTTCACGTCATCCAATTATTCCTATCCTTAAGGCGCTTTTTACATTAAACCTTTATGCGATAGCTGAAACTCCTGAATTAATGAAAAAAACTTACTTTTCAAAAGCATTTCCTGATTCTATGACCAGAGAAATTCATCCAAAACTCGAAAAATTTTGTTTTATCAAAGGAGCGGTTATAAGGCTTAATAAGCCTTTTGTTGATCCTTCAAGAATCAAATGTCCCATGATTGTGATTGGTGCCGAGGAAGACAAAGTCTTTCCTGACAATATAAAGAATATCTTGGAAATTTCCGAAGCTTATGGCGTCGGATATGATATCATTGGAGGTGCTGCTCACAACATTATGTTGGACCTTACATGGGAAGATGCTGCTATTGTTATTTTTAATAGAATCCACGAAAAATTGCGAATGAAAAAACAATAATTTTCCATTCTTTTATCTAACCCTAATATTATCAATTTCATTTTCATTATTTTCATTCGACTTCAATTTATATAGCCTTGGATGAAATATTCGCAGAATCACAGAATATAAACATAACATTCTTTCTACATTTATTTAATTAATTTAATTGTTTAACTTTGCAAAGACAATGTAATCTTATCTTTTATTATGACTGTTAATAATCATGACGAAATTATTATTAATCTTATTTATTCTTTAATGCAAAGAGAACATTTTCACTCCAATTTCTTAGGTGAATTTATTTGTTTGCGTAATATATAAAATAATGTGACAATATATTATTTCAAGAAAAAATTTTGATAATTCATATTAAGATTTACATTCTTTTTTTGTTTTTACAGGCGCAATTTTAGAAAATGTCATAACGGTTGTTAAAGGGAAATTACTAATAATTTATTTAAAATAATAATTTTTTTTCAATTTATGTACAGTGGGTCACCGGGCACTTAAAAATTACAAAATCGACGGAACTCTTTAGTTCAAATTAAACTTTCTTTTTTTTTATTCATTTAATCGATTTTAGTAAAGATAATTAACATTGAATATTTTAGCAGTAATAAAATTTTCTCATTAAATAAACTTGTTAAGCGTATTAAAAAATATATATCTTTAAAAATTCAGATTAAGTGCTTTGTCTAATCATATGCGATGTCAATCATTTTTCAAAATTTTAAAATCGTTTTTTCTAAAACAGCTTATTGATTTGAATAAAATTTTGATATTTATTACATAAAATTCTCATTAAAAAGGAGTTTTAAAGAATTGGAGCAAAATAACCCTTTATAATTGCAGTTAATAAAATAAAAAGATTAACATGGCTAAAAAATAGGAAAAATTTAAAAAAAAAAAAGAATAGGAAATGTTATCTGAAATAACAAATCTCAGTTTGAAGATATTTTAAGAGAAATTCTCAAGAATAATATAATCCAAAATGTCTTATTCCTACATTTAAATCGGGTTAACAGAGTGTAATAAATTTGAGTTATTTTACAAAGGTTTATTAATCAAATTAGAAGTTAGAATAATAGCAAATATATATAAATATAATAAAAAACTAATTATTACCATTTATAAATAGTTTAAAAATAAAAACAATTGTATTTTTCAAGAAAATGATACTTTTTACATAGCAAAAAGTAGTAAAAAATAAAACAAAAAAAATAAGATTATAAACTTATTATGATCTACTAAAATCCAAATTTAATTTTATAAAAATTTTGAATAGAAAAGTCAAAAAACATAACTATTATTAAAAATCAAGATGATTTATAATAAATATTACAGAAAAAATAGTTAACGTTAAAACTTAATGAAAATATATAAAATCTTATTGATAGTATATTACAACTATTATTGAAAATATTATGAAATATTATAATAAAATTATAAATTTTGCAAAAATTGATGCAATAGTTTGTAAATTATCTTAATTTAAAAATTTGATATAATTTTAAAAAAAAATAATTAATATCACATATTTTAATAAATTTTAATATCCATTATACTTAAATATTTTTTCATATATCTTTAATAAAAAAGAAGCTAGTTAGTATAAATTTTAACTTTATAAATATTTATACAATATGTAATAGTATAAAACTTTTACTTTTTATTTGAGCTATCAAATTTTATTTACTTATATAATATATCACATAATCATAATAAATTATATAATTTTATATTTAAACTAATCAGAATCAAATATTTAATTAATATTATCTATTAATAATATTCTATATACAGTCAACTCTTAATATAGCGAACTCTTGATATAATGAATTTTTTGAACAAATATAATAAAAATACACTTGTTATAACAAATTGGCTAATCAAATCTTTTAAAATCTTCACTATAGCCTTATAACAAAATTGAGATCTAAAATATAGAATTCGTTATAATAAGTGTTGACTGTAAAGTTTATTATATAAAACATATGTAATTCTAACTAAACTACTATAATTTAGATTAAAATTATAAGTTTAAATCAAAATCAGATATAATAAAATTCATATTATAAAAGCTTATAACTTTTAATACAATAATTTTATCTAAACTAGTTAAATAAAATTCATCAAGAAGTATTAATTAATGTTAAGTTTTCTTATAAATAATTTTTTATTATTTTTTATTAATATTTAAAGATTATCTATTTTATTAAATGTCTTAAATATTACTATTATACAATTTTTTATATAAAAAGTACTAAAATTATTAATGAAAAAATTATATCGAAATTTTTTAATTTTAATATATACAAAAATTTTATAAAAATTATATAAATAAAATTAAATATTTTTAATATAGTTTCATATAAATTTATATAACTATTAATCAGTAAAATTTTTATACTAATTGTTTATGAACTTAATTTATATTTATTTTAAAAATTTATTTTAAATATTAAAAAGTATTTTAAATAATATCAGTTTTTCTTATATAAATATATTTTTTATAATTATCTACAGTCTCCGGCGAAAAGAATGGCAGTGCAAACTTTTACTATATAATTAACTTTTATTTAAAAGTATTTGTATAAACAATTATATGGTATTTTATTGCATTACTAGTCTGAATGCTATGTGTATTTGTTTGAAGTCCGCAATGCATATTATAATATGAATAAAATTTTTGCGATTGTGAAACAAGGTCAAAT